CATAGCATTACCCTACATTTTTAAAAATTTGATATATTTTTATGTTAGAAATAAATTACAGGTATCCCTCATATAACATGGTAGTTATGTTCTGAAAAAGTGCCATGTTATGTGAATCCATGCTATACAAAACAAATGACTAATACAAAACATGAGATTAGGTTCCAAAAGTTAACAAAAGTATACTATTCTTCTTCATTAGTAAGAGAAATATATTTATTAAAGCAATCGATAATTAATTAACAATTACAAGCACTGTATTGTGTGTGAATATTAATTTTAGTTAAGTGAGGACATTTTCTTTTTACAAAGTATCATCATCATCTGAGTTTTTTTTTTTATTGCTGATATTTCTGAACAAGATCAGTTGTCATTTTTTTACTTTTACCACAAACATTTGTTCTAGTGGATTGCATTTGTTCAATTGAGGATCGAGCAATTTTTTTGTTTGTTTTTTTTTTTTTTTCAGAATGTGTGTTTGAATACCAAATTGTTTGAGTTGGGAACAGTTCGAGTACCAAGATACTGCCATATTTCATTTGTAATTTTACAAATGCTTTCTTACCAATGGTTAAAGAAAGGTTAATACCACTTACCTAAAAATGTTTATTTAAATAAACTTCACTAAATATGAAGATTAATCTATAAAAACAAAGCACAGCAACAGTCTTAAAGTCTGAAAGCGATGACAACAACACCCAGTTGATAGGATAGCTAGGTCAAGGAAGGGGAAAAAAATTGCATTATCAGTTTTCATTAAACTTGACAAAAGGCACAAAACAAATTGAAAGTTTCAAAATTCTAGTATCCATGGGGAAAATTTGAGATAACCCTCATACTTACTTGAATTTAAAAAAAATATATATCAAATAAAGGAGTTTGCACTTAAAAGTTTTGAAATTTTGTGTGGAGTATTTCTTAAATTCTCAAACCATGTTAGAGCAAAACTGTGTTGCAGAAGCACAGTGTTTTATGAGAGATAACTGTATGTATATTTGAAACTGATAATGTAAATATATTTTTCTGTAAAAGTAAATTTGTCATTGTCAGATGTTCCCATCATTATTGTATATCTACAATAAATATATTTATAATTTTAAAACCAATTTATATATCAATAATGTCAGTCTATCAAATTAAATGATATTATTAAAATCAAATGTTTAGAAAAAATTTTGTAAAGTTTAAAATTTAAAATATAAATTCAATTATACATTACAGTGAAAGTCCTCTAATCTGACACTCATGGGATTGAAGTGATACTAGATGGACTCTCCTGGAGTTAAATGACTTATGAATTTATAGACATCAGAATTGTTTTTTTAATTTCTTACTGATTTTTTTACAAGAATGTTACTGAAAACACGAAATAAGTTTCTTCTCTGTGTATTTTGTCAGTTCTTTTTTGTCTTTACATGCTTTTTTGTCTGCATTTGTTTTTCATATGACTTTTATGGAAACATCTCAGATGTCTGCTTGCTTGTAGCAGTGTTTCTTTTTTTTTTTTTTTTTTTTAAAAGTTCAATGTGATATGTAAATATGTCACTAAAATGCATTGAATTAGAAACTTCTTTCTGCAAATTAAACAAATTTTGTGATACATTCAGTTTTCCAACCTAGGAAAATTGTTTATAGCATTTAAATAATGATTTCATTAGTTGAATCTTGCACAACTGGCTATTTTTATTAATGTGTATCCACTCCTGAATTTTATCTTGCAAGAGGCTTGTAACTGGATTGTTCTATGGGTCAGTTTTGTCTTGTAAATGTATAAGAGAGATAAAAACTCACTGTATCAAATTCTTGTATATCAAGTGCTTATAAATTTGTGTGTTTGTGTACTGTACTGTATTTAATAATAATAGTAAAGTAGCTCCTTCAAGTACCATTTCAATTTCTGATGTTGCACTATATAGAAATAGATTTTTATATTCGATACATATATATGTTACAGTCAAAACCCGTTTTTAGTTAGAACGCGTTTTAACTAGTTGAAACTAGTTTATACTGAATGTCTTTGTTAAAACCCGTTTTGTCTAGTTAAAACTAGTTTTAACTCAAATTCATTTTTGACTACCAGTAAATTCTAGTTTTAACTAGACAAAACGGGTTTTAACAAAGACATTCAGTATAAACTAGTTTCAACTAGACAAAACGGGTTTTAACAAAGACATTCAGTATAAACTAGTTTCAACTAGACAAAACGGGTTTTAACAAAGACATTCAGTATAAACTAGTTTCAACTAGACAAAACGGGTTTTAACAAAGACATTCAGTATAAACTAGTTTCAACTAGACAAAACGGGTTTTAACAAAGACATTCAGTATAAACTAGTTTCAACTAGACAAAACGGGTTTTAACAAAGACATTCAGTATAAACTAGTTTCAACTAGACAAAACGGGTTTTAACAAAGACATTCAGTATAAACTAGTTTCAACTAGACAAAACGGGTTTTAACAAAGACATTCAGTATAAACTAGTTTCAACTAGACAAAACGGGTTTTAACAAAGACATTCAGTATAAACTAGTTTCAACTAGACAAAACGGGTTTTAACAAAGACATTCAGTATAAACTAGTTTCAACTAGACAAAACGGGTTTTAACAAAGACATTCAGTATAAACTAGTTTCAACTAGACAAAACGGGTTTTAACAAAGACATTCAGTATAAACTAGTTTCAACTAGACAAAACGGGTTTTAACAAAGACATTCAGTATAAACTAGTTTCAACTAGACAAAACGGGTTTTAACAAAGACATTCAGTATAAACTAGTTTCAACTAGACAAAACGGGTTTTAACAAAGACATTCAGTATAAACTAGTTTCAACTAGACAAAACGGGTTTTAACAAAGACATTCAGTATAAACTAGTTTCAACTAGACAAAACGGGTTTTAACAAAGACATTCAGTATAAACTAGTTTCAACTAGACAAAACGGGTTTTAACAAAGACATTCAGTATAAACTAGTTTCAACTAGACAAAACGGGTTTTAACAAAGACATTCAGTATAAACTAGTTTCAACTAGACAAAACGGGTTTTAACAAAGACATTCAGTATAAACTAGTTTCAACTAGACAAAACGGGTTTTAACAAAGACATTCAGTATAAACTAGTTTCAACTAGACAAAACGGGTTTTAACAAAGACATTCAGTATAAACTAGTTTCAACTAGACAAAACGGGTTTTAACAAAGACATTCAGTATAAACTAGTTTCAACTAGACAAAACGGGTTTTAACAAAGACATTCAGTATAAACTAGTTTCAACTAGACAAAACGGGTTTTAACAAAGACATTCAGTATAAACTAGTTTCAACTAGACAAAACGGGTTTTAACAAAGACATTCAGTATAAACTAGTTTCAACTAGACAAAACGGGTTTTAACAAAGACATTCAGTATAAACTAGTTTCAACTAGACAAAACGGGTTTTAACAAAGACATTCAGTATAAACTAGTTTCAACTAGTTAAAACGCGTTCTAACTAAAAACGGGTTTTGACTGTAACATATACATGTTAAGTATACTAATTATAATTTACAATATATAGAGTGTAAATACATACAACTATATAGTAAGTAATATATAAATACTTTATAGGATGGTCATGTCATAATTGGTAGAGTTAATAATACAAGCTGTGCCTCAACACAGACCAGTCCTGTTTCTTCTCCCCATCAGCATTGTAAGGTAAGTAATATATTTGTTTTAGGAAAAATATAATGTATATATTTTATTAAGTTACTACTAAAATTTTTAATATATAATTTAGAAGAAATGGTAAAAATTTAACTATAGTCGTCTACTCCACTTACAAAACTTGACTGGCAATTTTTAACTTTACCATCAATTCTCTGATTACTTCAGAGGGCAAAAAAATTGATTGTAATACAACAGTCTGAAGTGTATTATTATATTTCAGAATTTTACTATTAAAAAGTCTGATGATAAATGTTTAATTTTGAAACAAAACAAAAGACTTTGAAAAACACATGTAACTTTCTTTTAGACATTTTTTTTAAATAAGATTGTCGAAGTTTTAAAATTATTCCACAAATATGAACATAAAAAAACTATCGTCAATGATACATGTTTATTATAGTAACTGTGTAATAATACATGCTCCATTGGTAACGGTTTTTTATATTCATATTTGTAGAGTAACTTTAAAATTTTTGATTTTATTACAATAAATTATAAACTTCAACTCTATCAAATAATTTAATGTTATTTATTTAATTTTTTGTGCTTATATGTGATAACTTTTGTTAAAATTTTCATTAATAAAAAAACTTATAAGAGAGTGACTCATAAGTGATGATAATTCTTTAATCCATTCCATTCCGTATTTCAGAATTATTTTTCTAACAGATAACAAAAAAATAATTAAATGGTTGTTACTACAGAAAAATAAATAGTTGAAATGTAAAGCAAAATGTGTGTGTCATATCTATTAAAAATTAATTAAAAAGTTCAAAGAAAATATTAAAACATTAGCTGTAAATCAGCAATTGTACTAAATTTAAATTTGTACAATTGCTGATTGTGATGGCTCTGTGCTACACGCAAATAAAATTTAAATATTTATGTATGTATGTTTCTCTAATCCGAAATTAAGTTCGGTAGACTATCATTACAGCTTTCAGGTTAGACACTTCTTTTATTGTTTCCACATATGCATTTCGGACTTATGTAAATGTTAAGTCCCTCTTCAGTGCAATACTACAAATCTTTGACCAGTAAAATTTCACATAATATTTACAATAATAATAATAAATATAAAATGGAATGTTGATAAATTAAAAAAATCAGGAGTTGCATATAAAATTAATTGTAATTGCCAAAAACCAAAAAATTATATAGGTGAAACTAGTAGAGCGTTAGAATTAAGAATTAAAGAACACGAAGCAGCAATTAGATTAAAATACAATAATTCTCCGTGGTTCAACCATATTAAAAATAGTAATTGTCAAATAGATATAAATAACATAAAAGTAATTCATTCGGAAAAAGATATGTATAAACGTAAATTTAAGGAACATATTGAGATTATAAAATTTAAAGATGATAATTTAATCAATATATCAAATGGTATGCAAATAGATCAACAGTGGTACAATATAATAGGTGGCGCTAATGAAAAAAAGTGATTGTAATGTATTTATCATACAGTGTTGTGTCAGAGAATAAGTGAAATATATTGTGAAATTATGTATGTATCCTCTTAAAAAATAATATTACTATACTGCATATAATTAACCTGTAAAACGATTATAATTACAGTTACTGCAACGTTATATTGTAGAAAATACACATCCTTTAAAAGTTGTACCTATATAAGATTTTATGAGCACATAGAAAAATATAAAAGTGAGTATGTATTGTATTATATTGTTATTTTATTGGAATATGCGATGTTATGGAGTAAAAAAAAAAGAAAAAAAATTATAAAATTATTAATATATTAGGTTTTTTTCGTATAGATGTTTGGAAAATGTATTTGTGGTGTTTTTAATGAATGCATTAAAAAATCTTTTCAATGTTACCCGTTATACACCGTGGTTTTAGAAGACAGAACGATATGTATTGTATAAGTGTGACAATTTTTAAATATAATAGTTTTATGTCAGTAAATATGACCTACACGCGAAAAATTTTGTCATGTTACTAATTGTGGTTTTTTCAATAATTTGTAGTATTGCACTGAAGAGGGACTTAACATTTATATAAGTTCGAAATGCATATGTGGAAACAGTAAAAGAAGTGTCTAACCTGAAAGCTGTAATGATAGTCTACCAAACTTAATTTCGGATTAAAGAAACATACATACATACATAGATCATAATAAAATAATAAATAATTTTTAATTAGCGTCATCACCATCATCAAAAACAACAGTCCTCAAGTCCTCCATCACCTCCAAATGTTTTATCTCCAAAACATTTTATGGAAGAAAATATTAACAATGAACCACAAGCAAAACGAGATAATCAGTTTTCTCGTGAATCCCGAAATGCTCCCGTTTCTCGTTCTCAAGATTCTGGGCGTTCTAGTGATTCTAGTTGTTTGTCACAAGGTCCAAGTTTTGAAAGTCAAAATCATCCAGGACATAGGTACTCATTGTTATAAATCTTTACAAAAACAAATCACAAATAAATAGTTTAAAAAAATTTTAAACTTGTATTTACAGAAAACATGATTCTTGTTGTTCTTCAGAAAGTACGGGTTCTGGTAATCATCAAAGTCTTTTGCCAGAAAATCTGGACTTCAGCCCTGTTCAGAATGGGCTTACATTTGACATTCGGTCTTCCTCTAAGCAGACAATATCTAATGATTTAAATAGGCATCATCCTGAATATGATCATCATCCTGATTTTGGTTCAAGAAGACAATACAGTGTTGATTCTGCAACCCGTATTTCCAGAAGTAACTCTTCAAAAATTTTTCGCGATGGAATTGGTTATAGTCCTAGCTTGCAGTCAATGGAATGTACCCCGAAATCTCATAGAAAACACGAAGACTATAATGTGCAGAATAATTTTAATGTTCCCTCTCATCATAATAAATCTAGTGATAATAGATATCCACCTGACGGACTCTGCACACCCTTGACAAGTCGGAGAAATTGGTCTCGGACTGGGTCTCGTAGCACAGATAGTAGCATGTCCAGCCCACAAAGTCCTCTAGTGCCAAATACAGATGTACAGGTTATAAGAAGTGTCGATGGTAGTTTATTAACATTCAATGATATACAAGGTGTTCATCACGGGAGAGGCTCCAGTGATAGTTCACCACATTCAATGGATTCTTCGGGCCGTGGTGTGGACAGTGGCTTATTATCTCAAGAAAGTCATATGTCTTTAGATAGTCAACAAAAGAGTACTTCTGAACCACCTACTTCACCCAATTTAAGGACAGGCCATAGATACTCGAAATCGCCATTGGAGAAGGAAGGAACAAAATTAAGAACTTCTCATAGCAGAGAAGGCAGTGAAATATCACTGGGATCATACTTTTTTAGTGCATTATGTAATGAATCTCAAAAAACTAGTGCATCGCCTCAATTAAACGAACAACCAACACCTTTGTATAGTAACTTGGATTATCCATCACTGTGGGATCGAAAATCAGATAATCAATCTTATTTATTACCTCTTCAACATTATCTTTTGGAGCAAGCAAAACTTTCTGGTAAGTATTGAATTATGTAGTATTTTATTCATATTTGAATTAATTTTTTTAGTTAATCAAATATATAGTTTGTGAAATTTGATTGAAAAATTTATACAAAACTTTTAATTAAAATTAATATTTAATATAATTATGAAAAAAATTAAACATTTGATAGAAATAGTTTATAAATTACCTAATAATTATTATTATTACAAATCAACAGTATTCTTTCAATCAATCTATTAGAATATCACTTACATTTATGTTTTCTTGTACAAAAATATAACTGTGATTGATTATATTATAATCAGGGCTGTGGAGTCGGAGTCATGGATTTTTGGTGTTTTGGCCGGAGTCAGAGTCGTCAAAAAATCCGCCGACTCCAACTCCCTTTTTATTTACCAACTTATTATGTATATGAAACGGAGTCGGATGGTAAGGAAAAGTCGGAGTTGGAGTCGGTAGATTTTTACACGACTCCACAGCCCTGATTATAATTAAATTTTATAAATTATATTCACTGTATTCATCATTGAATTATCAATACTGAAACCTATCTTTTCAAAATATTTTTTGAGATGCAGTTCGTAATGACGACAATTATCGTCTATCAGTTTCTGAAAAGTTATTTTACAATATATAATATAAAGATTGTATTCTAGATGAATTTTATACGTAACTCATTTTGTGTAATTGATTTTAATTATTACAATTAAATAGAATATTAGTCATCCAATTTAATTAAGTAAAATGATACCCAATGAATATAAATTAGCATTTTTAATTACGGTAATTCCAATAGGATACATAAGTTATGTATAATTATCAAAATGTTTTAAACATCAGAATATTAAATACAAGAAATTATATTCTCAAAATCACATTTATATCAGCCTATTACCAGTAGAATTTATTAATAGTTTCTTTTCACAGGGAATTCTTATTAACAGTATAAGAACTCCCTGTTGTTATCTTAAGTTGTTCTAGTAATTTCAACAGTTTTTGATTTTAAGTAGTTCAATTTTCCCAAAGGTTTAACAATACATATATAAATATCACTAAGCCTGATGTATTAATAATAAACCAAACAATCACCATAATTAATCAGGCTAATTAAATGCTATTATTAATGATTAAATAATTTGTACTAGAATGTTTAGTTTATTTTAGATTTAACAATAAATATAGCATATGAATATTTAATGGATTAAACTACAGTAGAGCATCGATTATCCGAAACAGTTCAGGACTGGGGTTGTTTGAATAACTGATCATTTACAAAAAAATATATTAAACACAAAACTGTACTGTATATAATTTGTATCACACATCTTACAAATACATACCTTACATAATGTAATACATTAAACTAGGTCTATAGTTCGATTTGGCAGGGAGGAGAAGAGTGCTGCGACGCCACAGCCCTAGCAGAAATTTGAATTTGCCGACTGGAACGTTTGCGGTTAACCGATGTTTCGGTTGATCAGTATTCAGATAATCGATGCTCTACTGTAATTCATCTTTTATTTGTTAATTAACACTTTCACTTTATTCAGACAAGCATAAATTTTAAGTTGATTATAGACCAGTGGTGTGCAGTGATATTTGATGATAGTCGGCCCTGGATAGAATCATTGGAAGCAATATTTTAGTGTGTAGCATCCATGAGGTTGGTGCTCTGTAAAGTGCATGCACGAATGCATATAATCTGGCTGCTTTACACAATTCAAATATTTTTGCTGTGGAAGCTGTTCCATATTTGACAATACAGTGCTTCCGTTGGAAAGAAATATGAATATACAAATTTATATTCAAATATATCATTGTTTTTCACATTATATAAATTTGTAATAAGTTACATAATGCAGTTATAATAAAATGTTAATTTTAATTAATTTATGAAATAAAACAAATACAATTTATAATCATCAATAATTCTTATCTCTCTGAACAAGACAGGTTTTATATTATATAGATTATTATTAAAAATTAAGAATAACAGCTCTTTTTGTATTTAAATTTTACTTTTTGAAATAAAACTTCGTTGATTTTTGCAAACTGATCTCCAAATATTGGTGCTTTATATCTATTATCAGGGCTGCCACAGTGGGCATGCAGAGCACGCACCACACATGGCTGCCAAAAGACTAATTTAAGTGTCTGATTTGAATCATAAAATGACAAAGTGGAACAAAACGTTAAGTTAAAACAGTAAAATTTTTAACTCCAATGGTCCAATGCTCCATTATTTATTTAAATGGATTTATAGTATTGCGCAACGAAGTGTGTGTGAAATGAGTTTCTTCTCTGGCAAGGCCAGTCTACACATGACATTTTATCTTCAGTTTTGTATAATAATGCCAGAAGGATCAGATAAATTGTTGTTTGTGGACAGCAAGTTTGATATCATGCGTGAACTGAATGAGATTTTTCAAAAGACTGACATCCAGTATTGTTTTAAGAAACGTGATAGACAAGTTGTTGCATGTAGTTGCTCATCTGTCAACTTTCGGCTTTGCATCATCTCTCAACAGTGTCAGACTAGTCCCTATCTTGTATTGTTTTTCTTCATCCAATGTTTGAAGATCAGATTTAAGATATTGGTCATGTGACTTATTTTACTGGATTTATAGAATTTTACCATAGATTTTCTTGCCTGTGGCAAGTTATATTAAAGGATTATAATGATAAAGGAATATAATGATAAATGGAAACAAATGAAACATATTAATAAATATATAGAAGTGACTCATGAGACTACTAAAGATAATTTCACCAGAAAACTCAACTTTTTTAGTGGTGAGTCTCTCATGTAGAGTGATAACCCTTTTCATGGCAGTATCTTGTTTTTTTTTCTATTTCTATGGTTATTAGCATTAATAATTTGTAGTACTTGGCCATAACTATATGTAAATAATTATGCCAATCTTGTCCCTGTTATAATTCTTGTAGCAAATTTACCTGAGAAAACTTTCACTCTTGAATAACCATTCTCAAAACCACCTTGAACAATGAACAACAACCTTTTTTCCCCCCCTACTCACAGTTCATTCACTAGTGAAATAATTGTTAACAATAGTTCTTCATTCATAGTATCTAATGATAAAACTGAATAAGTTAGTGTAGTTACATATTTTGTGTCAGTTTTATTCATTAGTCATGATCATGTAAGACTGGCAACAAAGTATTGTGTGTAGGTTGGCCTTAAAACTCTCAAGAGTAGTGTATATAATTTTTTTAAATGATTTTATTTGTTTTCTTTCAGATATCAAAGGCTAGAATACACTGCTATCTGTGTATTAAAACTTAAAAAAATAAATATATGTACATACAGTAATGTCATCTCAACCCAATTTATAGTTAAACCAAACAACTTCCAAATTATCAGGCTATTACATGGCTAAATAAATGATTAGAAACTAATTAATTTGTCTAGAGGTAGGCAATTATACCATCATCCTACCTGTAGACAAATTAATTAGTTTGTAATCATTTACTTAGCCATATGATAGCCCAATAATTTAACAGTTGTTTGGTTTGAAAATAAATAAATTCATACCATCCAAACTCAATTCAAAGGGATTTTTGATGATGGTCGAAGGATATAAATCGTGGTATATTTATTTGCGCTAATTCATAAGGGGTACAAATAGGACTTAAATGCAGATGCAAGATACTCTAATGACAGTGTTGTCTATCATTTAGCCATTCACTATCTTTTTAGGTTTTATAATGACTTTTTATTTTTAAACTTGAAATTTAGATAAGTGACATTCCTTAAGTTTAATAATAATAATAATAATANTATATCATTGTTTTTCACATTATATAAATTTGTAATAAGTTACATAATGCAGTTATAATAAAATGTTAATTTTAATTAATTTAAAGTACATTAAAATATAAAAATAATTGCACAATATGTATTTATATTTTAGAAAATACAAAGGATACAATGCTTCCACAGCTTCCAAGGACGGCACACCACTGTTATAGACTCATATACTCACAGTATTGCATTAGTATATCAGTTGCGTAAATATTATTGATGTTTAAGAACTTACGATAAATATATTTTGTCTGTTTGTCAGTGATTAAAACTTTTTGATACAAATGAATACTTTAGGTAGATATACTGTTGTGAATATATAATTGGAAATTAGTTAAGCTACATACTGTATTTGTCATAATAAAGTTTGCTTTATTATGACAAATACAGTAGAACTTGGTCAAGAAATTTCTGTATAAGAATTTAATTTCAAAGTCCCAATTTTTTCCCATTAGAGAGACGTAAATTTTTATGATATAAAATGTTTCCATTTAAGAAAATTTTCCACTTAACTAGGCAGAAATCATTGCCTACAACCAGAAAATGACTCGCTTAAGAATTTTTTCAACTGCATTCTATCAAAATTTTACACATTTAATTGCATGTGGGTAAATCAAAATAATTACAAAATTTCATGCACTTCCTAATATATGTCATTTTGCACGTGACTTTGAGCTACTTTCAACACAGCAGGGTTTAAGCTGGGAAAAAATTTTCTGTAGCATTTTAGCTAATTTTACTAAAAAAGTTGTAGCAAAATTTTAGAAACCATAGCTAAGATTTATCATTGGTGATGCTGCTCAGAACAATACACAATACATTATTGTTTAAACATTTGTTTATTCTCATAGATACTGTACATTATTACAGTGTACTGTACTACCAATATAACCATAAATCTATTGTTACAACCCACAAGTATCGTACATTACTGAACAATCCTTCTTGGTTTTGATTCACACCAGGCAACAAATGCTGAATGAAAATCAAATTCCCATCTCGGGGGGCCATTTATGGAGATGTTTAACAAGTTGCTGACATTTTTTTACATCAAGACAGTTTCCAATTGGAGTCTTTTTTAATGTCAATTCATGGAAACCTTTCACACTCTACAGTGTGCCCTGTATGTGAAAGAACAAATTCAATAATTGTTGATATATGAGGGTAATCTGAGAGAAGGTTATTTACAGCTATCATTTTATAAACTTTAGGTGATGACATGTCTTCACATCTGACAGCAACAAATCTTTTAAGCAAGTTCCACTCCATCAGAAATTGTTTTTAAAATTACAATATTAACAATTAAGTATTCATTTATTGGAAACTTTTGTGACTACAAAGCGGAGAATACGTGACACTTCATACATTAGGTGATGTCTGTCAAGATGGACTTTTCTTTCGTGTAGTCTGAGCAATGAGAAATTGCACTCGGTTGGTACTAACTGTCTCATTTTAGGAGAAATAGGGTGACGTTAGGATTGCCACCCAGCCAGTATTGGGTCAGTCTGGCTGGCAATACATTAAATTTTTGAATGCATTTTGTTCAATTCTAGTTAAAATTAATTGTTTGTGCCATTTTGAGTTTTAAAAATTGATTTTTTAAAATGAATCGGTCTAGGCATTTGTTTGATTCTTTTTTTCTTCAAATAAGTACAGGCAATTGTACATTTAGGAAAACCTGGCACAATTGAATGAATTCAAAACTTGGTTAATTCATGATGATGATATTCGTTTAGCTTGTTGCATCATTTGCTTAACCTCATTTAGTGTTAAAGACAATGGAATTACATTATTTATGAGGCATGTCAGTTGTGAGAAGTATTAAAAAAGTGCATCTTCTCATTACGTTTCTCCCTCCCTTGGTCATTGCGTCAGCCAAAAGTTTTCAAAGTTGGGTGACCTTAAATGACACGATGGGATAGTTTTTTTTATTGAGTAAAAGGTGTATCAGCTGTAATTTGTTTAGGGGTAGTGTTGCAATATTAACTTTATCTGCAATAAGATTACAAATTTATTTTCCACTACACAATATAGACATGCGTATCTATGTATAAATGGAGAACTTTCAGGTTTATTTCAAAAGATCGATTCTGGATTTCCCAATAATTTTCCATCCTTAAGCTCAATGTTTATTAATTAATGAAGTACCACGCTCATAATATAAATAATTAATTTTTCTAAACTAAAATAAACTTTAGAAGGTATTCAAAAGAATCGGGAGAAATTTTTTTATCATCCCATCACTAGTTAAAACATTTAACAAGTGTTAACCACTTGGAAAATGTCAAGTTTTTTAGCGAAATGTGCCAAGAAAGTTGTCGCTAAATCTAAATTCTTGTTGCATTTTAGTAAAAAAACTAGCAACAGCTTAAACCCTGACACAGATTTTGCTACTTCCTTACACAGTTATCTGCAACAAACAGCAAATTCTGGAAGTACTATCAATAGATGGGTTATATCATAAGTTTTGAAAGTTCAATGAATTTTATTACAGTAGACTATTTGTGGCTATGTTGTCATTTCGTTGGGAATCATAAAACATGTTTTTGTTTCACATAAACAAATGGATGAAGCTGAAGCAGGTTATATTAGATGAGAGTTTAAATAAATAGATACTGTATAAGTCTAATTCACAGTAATGTAATAGAAGACTGTTAAATAAATATGGATTATTAAATGAAAAGTTTTACTATTTCCATTTTTGCTGAAGTTTCCCACTTAAGTTTTTAAATTAGTCACTCGAAAAACTTCTTAACTGAGTTCTGCTGTACTTGAATTCAAATATATATTGTTAATTAATGGGCTAATTGATCAACAAATTACAGATGTATGAAAGTAAGATTGGAAATACATAAATATAATTGTTTTCAATGTTATTTTGACTGTTCAACAAACTCGTAAAGCTAAAAAGTTTTATGTACAAAGAAATAAATTTAATCCTTAAGAAATTTCAAGGATTTTAATTCAGTTTAAATAACTCTGATGTTTTACATTGCTTTATAACACACTTTTTTATCTTCGTTGCAATTTATAATAATTCCTTAGATATTTATTATATACAGTAAAATCTCTAAATCTCAAGTTTGAAGGGAGCAAAAAAACTGGCCAGTTTGCATTAAAAAGAGTTTTTTTTTTACATATGAAGACTTATGAAAAATGGAAGAATTTTTGTTCAGACACGGAGTACAAGGCAGTAGAATAAGGGATGTAATTCTGTTATATATTTAAGTCCATGATATTAATTTGAGGCATTAATAGAATAATATATGAGGCTGAAATAATGATTTAAACAACCAAGGTTTGTCATATGAATTTAAGTATATCACATCACAAAATTACTTTTTCTATGCTACACTGAAGTTACTCAAAAATCAAGTTTTGCATAATATATTACATAAATTATCTGTAGAAAAATATGTACAGGAAAATTTAGGTATCTTACAAATAGATCTTTATTAACGTAAAAGACTTCACAAGTTCATATGCTTTATGAACTTTCTAATATAAACTTTAGCTCCTTGCTACGCTAATATAAACTTTAGCTACCTTGGTGTGTCATCTCTATGATATAAAAACTGCTAACACTTCCACCAGATGGAGAATATAACTTAAGCGGCTCAACATTGCTACAGGAATGCTAGATTTAGCAGATTATTTACTAAATTGGCAAATTTAACTTACATATATTTTGTGTTATGTCTGATTATTTATTTTTTATTAATGTACTTCAAGCAAAATGTTAGTCATATTCAAAAAAAAGTATGAAAATTCTTTCAAATAAATAAACAACTGAACATTATTAAAACATAAATGTTATATTTGCATTAATTTTATTTCTATAATTCTGAACGTTTAGGTTATAGATTAGGAGATTTTATGGGAGATGATCTAGATTCTCTTTCTCAAAGTGAGGAAGAATCAGATGGGTGTAGAGATGATGAAGATGATTTTGCTGACGACGAAGCTATGAGTCATCAGGATTCATCATCTCAAGAGTATCTTGATGACACTAGGTTCCTTGATGAGGATGATGATGATCAAATTTATTGTGAACCACCATCAACCTTACAACAAAGAAACAAAGCTAGTCAGTTATCAGGTATTTATTTATATTCTTTTACTTAAAAAGCTGGTTAATAAATATGATTTTCTTAAATCTTTTAAAATATGTTTATGCATAATTACATTTTATCAATTATAGCTACACAGCATGCTTCTTTAAGAAGAAAACATATAAATACAACTCCTGTTCATTCGCCTGTACTTGAGAAATCTCAGGTATAGTTTGCTTTTTAAGTTATAAGAATTGTTTTATAATTAATAGAGTAACAATATAATTTAACACAATAAAAATTCATGAGAAAAGATATTGAATTTGTATATTATATTAGTCTTTCCAGCCCGATATGGGACAGGGAATGGGTCAGCGCCCTCTCTCAATGTTGACGTCTAGTATAACAGATTCATCAGTAACAACAAATCCAATGACCGGTTCTTTACAAAGACAGGTATAACACAATGCAGTTAATTTGTTGATATATAAATTTAAATGTAATAAAAATCTAATTGTGTTGCAGACAATTGGAATAATGACAAATACATTATACAAAGACAAAAAGCCACCATCGGAAAGCGACATTGAGAAATATGCTGAAGACAACCTGAATAGGCACAAAAAGGGTATTTTCAGAAAAAAATTCACCATAAGAGATATGTTATCTTGGTCAAAGGTAATTATTTTTATATTGCTAATAGTTTTTTAATAACTGAAAAATGTTGAAATTGTATTCACTTCAAGTATTGATAATACACAAGTTAATGTTATATCGATAATTGACAAAATAGAAATTTTATTCATTTATTTAGCAAAGCTGTAAGATAAGCAAACTCCTCTTCACTTATAACAATACCCATAAAACCCATTAAAAATAGCAATCATAAATAATAAACTGAGATGAAATTAAAGGTTTAATGAAAAACATGCAGCAAATTTTAGTAATCAAAGATAAAAAAAAAATGTAGTTTTTGCGTTTACCAGAATATACAAAAAAATATGTATATTTTGATAAATGTGTAATGAATATCAAGAGTAAACTATTCATATACTGTATACATCACACGAAAACACGAGACTTTTTACTATTCTATTATAAAAATATTTGTCGATACACAAACTCCTTATCATTTATATCTCAAATGTGGATTTCCTTCATCACTTGATTTGTCTGCATATATGACATTCAAACTGTAATCATATCAGATTTATAAAGAATAAATATATCTTTTCTGATAATATATTATCACATATGTAATGTTTTGTCTGAAAAATTTTCTATAAAAAAACCAATGATATTACATATCAAAGTTGTTTTTAGCATATGATGTAGAAATGTACAAATGTCAATTATTAATCATTAGAAGTCATTGCCATACTGTTCGGTATGGTAGTATGGAGTGCTATTGTTACATTACTTCTGTTAGTAAATCAAAGTTTTATAGTTTAAATAGTTTGTTACATAGATACTTGTATATGACACTGTTTAGAAATTACCAATACTCATTTCAAATGTTTTGTGGTTTATTTTTGGTCCTGTCAAATATCATTTTTATTTAATTTAATTTCTGTTATATATTAGATACACTTTCATTTTTCTGTTATTCTAAGTGGTTGCATTCCAAACTTTTGAATAAAAATAGCCATCTGAAACTTTTTTAGTAATTTATTATAAAAAAAAAAAAAACATTATCAGAGGGAATTTTCTGAAAATTATACTTCAAATAATCAAAAATATAAAAGACAGATTATTCTTGATAGTATTTCTTAGAAATGCTACTGTTTATGATTCAGTTTTTATTATATCATTTAGATATTTTGTTTAAGAGGCAAAATAATTATATAGGAAAATTAAAGTAAAAAAGTAAAGTAATCTAGGCTTTTTACTTGTAAAAATTTTATTTTAAAACGAATTGCTTTATATTTATTCCACGCATTAATTGAAATTCTAGTTTTTAGCTTAGTTCTTTTATCTTTTCTGAGTACCAAATAGAAACACTTTGTTTATTCAGAATTAGTTTTTACTTTGGACAATGAAAATATTAATTGAATAAAAGTTAAAGCTATCTCTCTATAAATATTTGAAATAAATACTAAACCTTAATCTGTATTTTATATTTTATTGTATATTTTTTTATCTTAATTTTTTCTCTCAACAAAATTTCTATTGAAAAATTTCTGGAAATCTTTTAATATATATTATATATGTTCAGCTTTATTAATATGTGATAAAGTGAAATAAATTTAATAATTTATTATGTAATTGTAATCAATTATATTTTTGTAAAACTGCAGAAGTAAATAAAAATATCAAATGTTAAATTTTGTTTAAAGTATATTTATAATTTCTATATGTTCATACGTTTAAAAAGTATATGATAGTAAAACAGTATATATTTTATATAATGATAAATGAAATTCACAATTATTTTGTATGATTCACTTCCAGGATATTGAAAAACCTTTCCATTGTGTTAAGCTTCAGAATAAAATCAAATCTTTTACACTTCCTGGAAATGCATCTTGTATTGAAAATAATAAATAGTATTTTCAATGCAAAGTGTAGAAGTATTTAATTTTAAACATAATGGCTGTAGTCATACTGTATTTTAAATTAGTTTGTGTTCTGGGCCAATATATTTTTCACTTATATAGAAATATTATGTTAATATATAATATAAAAAAGAATAAAATTTCAAAAATACTCTGTGATACTATCTAGTTTCTTTTACATTTTATTTTATTATTAATTTTTGTGAATTTTAGAATATATAGGAATATAATTATACTATACGATTCAGAAATATTAAATAATAATAATAATAATAAATAAATAAAATTTAAAAATTTCAAATTTAAAATGTTATATTTATACAAAAAAAAAGAATTCATCTTTATTTACATGATCCAGGACAGTACTTCTGGAATTATTAATATTTATTAAAAATATAATACAAAAGTTTTTCAGGAGATTTTGATAAATTAATATATGGTCTATAAAAATTAAATAGTATATTTATTTAAGAATTATACTTTTCAAGTTATCGTGCTTAGTTTATTGCTTTGAACCCTTATATTAATTTTCTTTTAAATTCATTTAGGATCCAATCCGAAAACCAATGATAATGACTACAGATAAATCTTTGAAGAGAGATGCTTGCGAATTATTTAAATTAATACAAACATACATGTGTGATCGCAAACCAAAAAGTGGACAGAGCATGGAACAGGTTGCTTTGGATATTGCTACAAGGGGATGGAGTAAACAAGCTCTTCGGGATGAACTTTATGTTCAAATCTGTCGTCAAACTACAGATAATCCAAGAAGGTAATCATTTCTGATTTCTTATCTTATTTTATTTTAAAAAGTCATATATATGATATATATATGATTTTTTTTAACAGTAATATATGAACTTCTTACTATGTAATGTTTTATTCTTACAATGTAGGGATAGTGTGATCTTAGGATGGGAATTGATGGCTGTTTGTCTTTCTTTTTTTCCACCTTCTGTGAAATTCCAGCCTTATCTGGAGAGTTACATAAATCGTCATAAAGATAACACATTAGATACATCCGAGGTAAATTACATTAAAACATTTCACGGATGAATTATTTTTATTTAAAATATTTATTATTGAAGTTTTTATTATATAAGATAAATTTTTTATATTTGTAGCATATCAGATGTTTCTTAAAATGAGAAACTATTGAGAAATCTTTTTTTTTTTAAAGATGTGTTTAGCTTTTGTTGTATCATTTTAATTTTTATATTTCATTATGCAGATATTTAATTTTTATTTTACTCTGTAATTTTGAGGTAACAAAAAATAAAAATTTAGGATTAGATTTAAAAAAATTTTTTTATGTATTGAAATAAAAATGCTTTATTTTCATTCAAATATAATGAATATGATCAAGTTCTTATTTCAGTGATTACTTTGAGTTTTCAATTGACAAATATTACATAAAAATTTAGTGTCTTAAAATAGGTGTAAAAATCTGTTCTACTGTTCAAATTTGTGGTTTATAAACAGTTATATTTTAATTAATTTATGAAATAAAACAAATACAATTTATAATCATCAATAATTCTTATCTCTCTGAACAAGACAGGTTTTATATTATATAGATTATTATTAAAAATTAAGAATAACAGCTCTTTTTGTATTTAAATTTTACTTTTTGAAATAAAACTTCGTTGATTTTTGCAAACTGATCTCCAAATATTGGTGCTTTATATCTATTATCAGGGCTGCCACAGTGGGCATGCAGAGCACGCACCACACATGGCTGCCAAAAGACTAATTTAAGTGTCTGATTTGAATCATAAAATGACAAAGTGGAACAAAACGTTAAGTTAAAACAGTAAAATTTTTAACTCCAATGGTCCAATGCTCCATTATTTATTTAAATGGATTTATAGTATTGCGCAACGAAGTGTGTGTGAAATGAGTTTCTTCTCTGGCAAGGCCAGTCTACACATGACATTTTATCTTCAGTTTTGTATAATAATGCCAGAAGGATCAGATAAATTGTTGTTTGTGGACAGCAAGTTTGATATCATGCGTGAACTGAATGAGATTTTTCAAAAGACTGACATCCAGTATTGTTTTAAGAAACGTGATAGACAAGTTGTTGCATGTAGTTGCTCATCTGTCAACTTTCGGCTTTGCATCATCTCTCAACAGTGTCAGACTAGTCCCTATCTTGTATTGTTTTTCTTCATCCAATGTTTGAAGATCAGATTTAAGATATTGGTCATGTGACTTATTTTACTGGATTTATAGAATTTTACCATAGATTTTCTTGCCTGTGGCAAGTTATATTAAAGGATTATAATGATAAAGGAATATAATGATAAATGGAAACAAATGAAACATATTAATAAATATATAGAAGTGACTCATGAGACTACTAAAGATAATTTCACCAGAAAACTCAACTTTTTTAGTGGTGAGTCTCTCATGTAGAGTGATAACCCTTTTCATGGCAGTATCTTGTTTTTTTTTCTATTTCTATGGTTATTAGCATTAATAATTTGTAGTACTTGGCCATAACTATATGTAAATAATTATGCCAATCTTGTCCCTGTTATAATTCTTGTAGCAAATTTACCTGAGAAAACTTTCACTCTTGAATAACCATTCTCAAAACCACCTTGAACAATGAACAACAACCTTTTTTCCCCCCCTACTCACAGTTCATTCACTAGTGAAATAATTGTTAACAATAGTTCTTCATTCATAGTATCTAATGATAAAACTGAATAAGTTAGTGTAGTTACATATTTTGTGTCAGTTTTATTCATTAGTCATGATCATGTAAGACTGGCAACAAAGTATTGTGTGTAGGTTGGCCTTAAAACTCTCAAGAGTAGTGTATATAATTTTTTTAAATGATTTTATTTGTTTTCTTTCAGATATCAAAGGCTAGAATACACTGCTATCTGTGTATTAAAACTTAAAAAAATAAATATATGTACATACAGTAATGTCATCTCAACCCAATTTATAGTTAAACCAAACAACTTCCAAATTATCAGGCTATTACATGGCTAAATAAATGATTAGAAACTAATTAATTTGTCTAGAGGTAGGCAATTATACCATCATCCTACCTGTAGACAAATTAATTAGTTTGTAATCATTTACTTAGCCATATGATAGCCCAATAATTTAACAGTTGTTTGGTTTGAAAATAAATAAATTCATACCATCCAAACTCAATTCAAAGGGATTTTTGATGATGGTCGAAGGATATAAATCGTGGTATATTTATTTGCGCTAATTCATAAGGGGTACAAATAGGACTTAAATGCAGATGCAAGATACTCTAATGACAGTGTTGTCTATCATTTAGCCATTCACTATCTTTTTAGGTTTTATAATGACTTTTTATTTTTAAACTTGAAATTTAGATAAGTGACATTCCTTAAGTTTAATAATAATAATAATAATAATAGTGAAATACTAACTAGTAAATATTATAATTCTAAAGAAATATAAACATTTTAAATCTTTCAACTTATCTAAATTTTCTTGTTTTAAGTCTTTGTATGAAATCATAAAATAATTTTAATTTTTAGTATTAATTTCGGTATGTACTAGTAGATTATTCTAAGACTTTATGTTAACTATTATGAAATCTTTAAAAAAGACTAAAGCCAAACAATCACTATAATGAATCGGGCTACTTTACTGCTAAAGTGGTAAAGTTACATTGCTGCAGTCGTTTGGCTTTGATTAAAAACGTCGGCTTTGAGATGTTTATATATTAAAAAGATTTTTACTGAAAATAATTGTAGAGGGTTTAGTGATTTTCTTTGTAGCATCCATTATTAAAATACTTAGCAAATTATTACAAATTGATATTATTTAGATGTTATATATATTATATATAAAGTGAAGTTTAGTAATGAGAAAATTTTAATCATATTTAATAGCTAAAAATCAGTCCATATGCTGCAGTTTGTAGTAAACGGTTAGAAAGAATGGCAAGGACGGGAGCCAAAAAAGGATTAAGGAAACCTACTTTAGAAGAAATTGATCAGTCAAGGGTACAAAAGTTATCATTATCTTTTAATTTATTAATAATAATTCATGAAGACATTGTAAATTAATTATTTTTAAGACTGTTTTTAAATTATCTTTTCCATTTAAATTGTTTACTGTAACTTTTAAAATTTAATTTTTCATATTTATATGAGAAATTTATTAGTAAAATTAAGATAAAATACCTCATTGCTCGAAGATGGGGAGAATTAGTTACTGATTTTAACACAACATACAGTTTGCACTTGTAAATTTTCAAATTATTAATTAAAATTTTAAATTTTTTTAATATTGTGTTGTTCTCTATCTTGATAAAGAATACTTCCTTTATAAATTGATATAGCTTTCAAATAAAAAAAAAACTATTTTTAACATAATACAAAAGTTGCGTGTTTATATCATATTTATTTTAAATAATTAAATGAATTTTATTTCTCACTTAGAGAATGAACCTAGTAAAAAAATTCAGAAATTTAATTTTATTTTTTAAATAGAAATTTATAATTTACTTCAAATAAAGTATTATTTAATTATTTTGTTAATGTAAATTTTATTTTTCTAAAACCATAGAGTAGTTCACTATTATTTTTTAAGTAGATAAGTGGTTTTATAAATGTATTAATTAATTATTATTACATATTTATATTGTAGATCCAGATATTTAGGCCATCAATGTTTGGAAACACCTTAGAAGAAGTGATGGCTCTACAAAAAATAAAATATCACGATAGACGATTACCATGGATTCAAACAGCTTTATCTGAAGCTGTGTTACGATTAAATGGTGCTCAAACTGAAGGAATTTTCAGGTATGTTTTTCTATTATAAAGTTTTGCAAAATTTACATAGAAGTATTATTTTATTTATTGAATTAACATTAAACTAATTATTTTCATCTTAAATGTGTAGAGTACCTGGAGATATTGATGAAGTAAATGCAATGAAACTTCGCATAGATCAATGGGAAATTGTAGAAAGTACTGATCCCCATGTGCCTGCTTCTTTGCTCAAATTGTGGTACAGAGAGTTATATGAACCTTTAATTCCAAATCAGTTTTATAACGAATGTATTGAATATTGTAATGATGGAGAAGCTGCTGTTCAAATTGTACAGAAATTACCAGAGATTAATCGCTTAGTCCTATCCTACCTCATTCGTTTTCTTCAGGTAAATCAAAATACTTTTATATTGTCACCTTTTAAAAGTAACTATTATTTTTAATTACATTAGTTAAGTATTTGTCATATTAACTGTTATATTACTAAAAACATTTTGTTTGTAATAAAATATACACTAAGATGAGGATAAATTTAACATTTTAAAGTACAGTAAGACTCCACTTAATGTGGGGGATATGTTCCTAGAAAATGAAGTGTTAAACGAGGTCATTTTAACACAGATTAAATAAGAAAAGGGAAACGTGACCAAAAATAAGCAGATTTTACTTTAAGTTATTTTTATATTAATTTGCATAATAATATATGTTAAATAACACACAAGCATGTGCACACAGAAATGTAAAGTTCATTTTTTTTGTGACGAAGGTCCTGGCTCTTCTGAAATTCTTGTTTTTTTGCAATAAAGTCGTGTAGTTTCATTTGTTGCTTTTTTTTTCTTTCCTTAAGAAAATGTTGGTAGCAAGAGATTGCATCCAAAACGCCTCATCTTGCTTTTCACTACTTTCAAAATCTGGATCATTCTCTACAGTTTGATCAACAATTTCGGTTATCATAACCAAACTTTTACTAAGGAAATCTGTAGAGAAATTATTTGGGTTCTTCGTTTTCAGAATCACTATTTTCCAATTCCACATGAATTCCTTATTCTGCCAGTTCTTGAAGGTTGTTGTTGGTAAGGCTCTCACCAGAAACCTGCAGTAATTAACCCCTCGATATCCTGCTCGTCTACATCTCCTAGTCATGCTATATCGATTAGGTTGACAATTTGGTCAACCTAACGATACAGCGATAGGCTTTTCTCATTGAAAATTTTTGGATAACTCCAGCCATAACTTCCATACTTTGTTTATGCATTTATCGGTTAATTCTTACCAAGCGAAGTCGATATTGCTTATGGCATCCATGATATATTTTTTCCAAAATTGCACCAAACAAACATAGATTTAAGGAAAGTACAGCGCTACGACGAATTGTTACCTTTAGCTGATTGGTTAGTGTTTGGGAATAATTATATTATATACGAATCAATGAAATGCTGCAATAATTTGAATCGGCGTAAATTTTGAGATTTTTTTTTAGGCTTCGAGCAGACCGCATTATATCAAATCAGCGTTAAGTGGGGTCTTACTGTATAAATTTTTAAAATTTAATTTTTGTCTGTTTATACAAATATATTTTAAGGGTTTTATACATATAATTTATTATTATTATTACAATTCATTTTAATCTTAATTTTTTTTAATATTACAATAGCAAGTGGAAGTATATATATTTTTTTTTTTATGAAAAAATAAAAAACTGTTTTATACATCACTGGCAATGATAATATAGCAATCAGTTAATATATTAAAATTTTCCAATTATTTGATAATTAGATAGTCATATTTGAATATAAGTTTAAAGCCAGTACTTTAATATCATATTATAATGATTGAATCTCTATAATAATGTTTACCAAATTGAGTTTTGTCACAGTATTGAAAATTTAGGAATTAGCATGATCAAATTTTTCTAGATATAAATTTGAAGGAATAATCATAAAAAAGAATGTCACACACAGCCAATCAGAATCAGAGTTTCATCTATGATATATTTGCAATCTATATTCTATCAATTAAACAAGTCTAACATTGCACACCAGTAACCAGAACTTATGCCATTATTTCTCTCACATTGGAGAATTGAGGATTTTAAGTGCTTATAGTACATTTTGATTTGAAAGTTTGTCATAATCTGCATATATTTTGATAGTAGTTATATATTTATTAAATATTCTAATTACTTTCATGTTTATAGTCATTTGAAATAAAAATGATTCCTTTTTGATATGATGATAATGGCAGGCACATCCAGTTTCATTACAGTGTGGTTCTATTTTGTTTTAAAATTTATTTTTTTAATTTTTTAAAGTAATTTTCTAATTAAAATTTTTACATTTTTTTAAATCCTGAATATCCATTTATGCATAGCCAAACACTGCAATTAATTTAAAATAATTCTTTGTTTCATTAACATTGTTTTTATTATTCATAAATAACCTTATAAATATTTAATATATTTGGAAAGCTTTGAAAATGATAGTGAAAATATTTTCAAGAACTTTTAAATGATTGTATTTAGTAAATAATTAAACAGTATTAAATATTATGATATATGCATGTTCAGTATGTACTGTATTTAATTTGCTCTTCAACCCTGTTTGGAAGTCTTCTCTCTTATATATTATTATTAAACAATGACTAAAAAAACAGTGCAAAAATATTCAAAATTTAAACGTTAAAATGGATAACATATTTATTTAAGAATTATACTTTTCAAGTTATCGTGCTTAGTTTATTGCTTTGAACCCTTATATTAATTTTCTTTTAAATTCATTTAGGATCCAATCCGAAAACCAATGATAATGACTACAGATAAATCTTTGAAGAGAGATGCTTGCGAATTATTTAAATTAATACAAACATACATGTGTGATCGCAAACCAAAAAGTGGACAGAGCATGGAACAGGTTGCTTTGGATATTGCTACAAGGGGATGGAGTAAACAAGCTCTTCGGGATGAACTTTATGTTCAAATCTGTCGTCAAACTACAGATAATCCAAGAAGGTAATCATTTCTGATTTCTTATCTTATTTTATTTTAAAAAGTCATATATATGATATATATATGATTTTTTTTAACAGTAATATATGAACTTCTTACTATGTAATGTTTTATTCTTACAATGTAGGGATAGTGTGATCTTAGGATGGGAATTGATGGCTGTTTGTCTTTCTTTTTTTCCACCTTCTGTGAAATTCCAGCCTTATCTGGAGAGTTACATAAATCGTCATAAAGATAACACATTAGATACATCCGAGGTAAATTACATTAAAACATTTCACGGATGAATTATTTTTATTTAAAATATTTATTATTGAAGTTTTTATTATATAAGATAAATTTTTTATATTTGTAGCATATCAGATGTTTCTTAAAATGAGAAACTATTGAGAAATCTTTTTTTTTTTAAAGATGTGTTTAGCTTTTGTTGTATCATTTTAATTTTTATATTTCATTATGCAGATATTTAATTTTTATTTTACTCTGTAATTTTGAGGTAACAAAAAATAAAAATTTAGGATTAGATTTAAAAAAATTTTTTTATGTATTGAAATAAAAATGCTTTATTTTCATTCAAATATAATGAATATGATCAAGTTCTTATTTCAGTGATTACTTTGAGTTTTCAATTGACAAATATTACATAAAAATTTAGTGTCTTAAAATAGGTGTAAAAATCTGTTCTACTGTTCAAATTTGTGGTTTATAAACAGTTATATTTTAATTAATTTATGAAATAAAACAAATACAATTTATAATCATCAATAATTCTTATCTCTCTGAACAAGACAGGTTTTATATTATATAGATTATTATTAAAAATTAAGAATAACAGCTCTTTTTGTATTTAAATTTTACTTTTTGAAATAAAACTTCGTTGATTTTTGCAAACTGATCTCCAAATATTGGTGCTTTATATCTATTATCAGGGCTGCCACAGTGGGCATGCAGAGCACGCACCACACATGGCTGCCAAAAGACTAATTTAAGTGTCTGATTTGAATCATAAAATGACAAAGTGGAACAAAACGTTAAGTTAAAACAGTAAAATTTTTAACTCCAATGGTCCAATGCTCCATTATTTATTTAAATGGATTTATAGTATTGCGCAACGAAGTGTGTGTGAAATGAGTTTCTTCTCTGGCAAGGCCAGTCTACACATGACATTTTATCTTCAGTTTTGTATAATAATGCCAGAAGGATCAGATAAATTGTTGTTTGTGGACAGCAAGTTTGATATCATGCGTGAACTGAATGAGATTTTTCAAAAGACTGACATCCAGTATTGTTTTAAGAAACGTGATAGACAAGTTGTTGCATGTAGTTGCTCATCTGTCAACTTTCGGCTTTGCATCATCTCTCAACAGTGTCAGACTAGTCCCTATCTTGTATTGTTTTTCTTCATCCAATGTTTGAAGATCAGATTTAAGATATTGGTCATGTGACTTATTTTACTGGATTTATAGAATTTTACCATAGATTTTCTTGCCTGTGGCAAGTTATATTAAAGGATTATAATGATAAAGGAATATAATGATAAATGGAAACAAATGAAACATATTAATAAATATATAGAAGTGACTCATGAGACTACTAAAGATAATTTCACCAGAAAACTCAACTTTTTTAGTGGTGAGTCTCTCATGTAGAGTGATAACCCTTTTCATGGCAGTATCTTGTTTTTTTTTCTATTTCTATGGTTATTAGCATTAATAATTTGTAGTACTTGGCCATAACTATATGTAAATAATTATGCCAATCTTGTCCCTGTTATAATTCTTGTAGCAAATTTACCTGAGAAAACTTTCACTCTTGAATAACCATTCTCAAAACCACCTTGAACAATGAACAACAACCTTTTTTCCCCCCCTACTCACAGTTCATTCACTAGTGAAATAATTGTTAACAATAGTTCTTCATTCATAGTATCTAATGATAAAACTGAATAAGTTAGTGTAGTTACATATTTTGTGTCAGTTTTATTCATTAGTCATGATCATGTAAGACTGGCAACAAAGTATTGTGTGTAGGTTGGCCTTAAAACTCTCAAGAGTAGTGTATATAATTTTTTTAAATGATTTTATTTGTTTTCTTTCAGATATCAAAGGCTAGAATACACTGCTATCTGTGTATTAAAACTTAAAAAAATAAATATATGTACATACAGTAATGTCATCTCAACCCAATTTATAGTTAAACCAAACAACTTCCAAATTATCAGGCTATTACATGGCTAAATAAATGATTAGAAACTAATTAATTTGTCTAGAGGTAGGCAATTATACCATCATCCTACCTGTAGACAAATTAATTAGTTTGTAATCATTTACTTAGCCATATGATAGCCCAATAATTTAACAGTTGTTTGGTTTGAAAATAAATAAATTCATACCATCCAAACTCAATTCAAAGGGATTTTTGATGATGGTCGAAGGATATAAATCGTGGTATATTTATTTGCGCTAATTCATAAGGGGTACAAATAGGACTTAAATGCAGATGCAAGATACTCTAATGACAGTGTTGTCTATCATTTAGCCATTCACTATCTTTTTAGGTTTTATAATGACTTTTTATTTTTAAACTTGAAATTTAGATAAGTGACATTCCTTAAGTTTAATAATAATAATAATAATAATAGTGAAATACTAACTAGTAAATATTATAATTCTAAAGAAATATAAACATTTTAAATCTTTCAACTTATCTAAATTTTCTTGTTTTAAGTCTTTGTATGAAATCATAAAATAATTTTAATTTTTAGTATTAATTTCGGTATGTACTAGTAGATTATTCTAAGACTTTATGTTAACTATTATGAAATCTTTAAAAAAGACTAAAGCCAAACAATCACTATAATGAATCGGGCTACTTTACTGCTAAAGTGGTAAAGTTACATTGCTGCAGTCGTTTGGCTTTGATTAAAAACGTCGGCTTTGAGATGTTTATATATTAAAAAGATTTTTACTGAAAATAATTGTAGAGGGTTTAGTGATTTTCTTTGTAGCATCCATTATTAAAATACTTAGCAAATTATTACAAATTGATATTATTTAGATGTTATATATATTATATATAAAGTGAAGTTTAGTAATGAGAAAATTTTAATCATATTTAATAGCTAAAAATCAGTCCATATGCTGCAGTTTGTAGTAAACGGTTAGAAAGAATGGCAAGGACGGGAGCCAAAAAAGGATTAAGGAAACCTACTTTAGAAGAAATTGATCAGTCAAGGGTACAAAAGTTATCATTATCTTTTAATTTATTAATAATAATTCATGAAGACATTGTAAATTAATTATTTTTAAGACTGTTTTTAAATTATCTTTTCCATTTAAATTGTTTACTGTAACTTTTAAAATTTAATTTTTCATATTTATATGAGAAATTTATTAGTAAAATTAAGATAAAATACCTCATTGCTCGAAGATGGGGAGAATTAGTTACTGATTTTAACACAACATACAGTTTGCACTTGTAAATTTTCAAATTATTAATTAAAATTTTAAATTTTTTTAATATTGTGTTGTTCTCTATCTTGATAAAGAATACTTCCTTTATAAATTGATATAGCTTTCAAATAAAAAAAAAACTATTTTTAACATAATACAAAAGTTGCGTGTTTATATCATATTTATTTTAAATAATTAAATGAATTTTATTTCTCACTTAGAGAATGAACCTAGTAAAAAAATTCAGAAATTTAATTTTATTTTTTAAATAGAAATTTATAATTTACTTCAAATAAAGTATTATTTAATTATTTTGTTAATGTAAATTTTATTTTTCTAAAACCATAGAGTAGTTCACTATTATTTTTTAAGTAGATAAGTGGTTTTATAAATGTATTAATTAATTATTATTACATATTTATATTGTAGATCCAGATATTTAGGCCATCAATGTTTGGAAACACCTTAGAAGAAGTGATGGCTCTACAAAAAATAAAATATCACGATAGACGATTACCATGGATTCAAACAGCTTTATCTGAAGCTGTGTTACGATTAAATGGTGCTCAAACTGAAGGAATTTTCAGGTATGTTTTTCTATTATAAAGTTTTGCAAAATTTACATAGAAGTATTATTTTATTTATTGAATTAACATTAAACTAATTATTTTCATCTTAAATGTGTAGAGTACCTGGAGATATTGATGAAGTAAATGCAATGAAACTTCGCATAGATCAATGGGAAATTGTAGAAAGTACTGATCCCCATGTGCCTGCTTCTTTGCTCAAATTGTGGTACAGAGAGTTATATGAACCTTTAATTCCAAATCAGTTTTATAACGAATGTATTGAATATTGTAATGATGGAGAAGCTGCTGTTCAAATTGTACAGAAATTACCAGAGATTAATCGCTTAGTCCTATCCTACCTCATTCGTTTTCTTCAGGTAAATCAAAATACTTTTATATTGTTACCTTTTAAAAGTAACTATTATTTTTAATTACATTAGTTAAGTATTTGTCATATTAACTGTTATATTACTAAAAACATTTTGTTTGTAATAAAATATACACTAAGATGAGGATAAATTTAACATTTTAAAGTACAGTAAGACTCCACTTAATGTGGGGGATATGTTCCTAGAAAATGAAGTGTTAAACAAGGTCATTTTAACACAGATTAAATAAGAAAAGGGAAACGTGACCAAAAATAAGCAGATTTTACTTTAAGTTATTTTTATATTAATTTGCATAATAATATATGTTAAATAACACACAAGCATGTGCACACAGAAATGTAAAGTTCATTTTTTTTGTGACGAAGGTCCTGGCTCTTCTGAAATTCTTGTTTTTTTGCAATAAAGTCGTGTAGTTTCATTTGTTGCTTTTTTTTTCTTTCCTTAAGAAAATGTTGGTAGCAAGAGATTGCATCCAAAACGCCTCATCTTGCTTTTCACTACTTTCAAAATCTGGATCATTCTCTACAGTTTGATCAACAATTTCGGTTATCATAACCAAACTTTTACTAAGGAAATCTGTAGAGAAATTATTTGGGTTCTTCGTTTTCAGAATCACTATTTTCCAATTCCACATGAATTCCTTATTCTGCCAGTTCTTGAAGGTTGTTGTTGGTAAGGCTCTCACCAGAAACCTGCAGTAATTAACCCCTCGATATCCTGCTCGTCTACATCTCCTAGTCATGCTATATCGATTAGGTTGACAATTTGGTCAACCTAACGATACAGCGATAGGCTTTTCTCATTGAAAATTTTTGGATAACTCCAGCCATAACTTCCATACTTTGTTTATGCATTTATCGGTTAATTCTTACCAAGCGAAGTCGATATTGCTTATGGGCATCCATGATATATTTTTTCCAAAATTGCACCAAACAAACATAGATTTAAGGAAAGTACAGCGCTACGACGAATTGTTACCTTTAGCTGATTGGTTAGTGTTTGGGAATAATTATATTATATACGAATCAATGAAATGCTGCAATAATTTGAATCGGCGTAAATTTTGAGATTTTTTTTTAGGCTTCAAGCAGACCGCATTATATCAAATCAGCGTTAAGTGGGGTCTTACTGTATAAATTTTTAAAATTTAATTTTTGTCTGTTTATACAAATATATTTTAAGGGTTTTATACATATAATTTATTATTATTATTACAATTCATTTTAATCTTAATTTTTTTTAATATTACAATAGCAAGTGGAAGTATATATATTTTTTTTTTTATGAAAAAATAAAAAACTGTTTTATACATCACTGGCAATGATAATATAGCAATCAGTTAATATATTAAAATTTTCCAATTATTTGATAATTAGATAGTCATATTTGAATATAAGTTTAAAGCCAGTACTTTAATATCATATTATAATGATTGAATCTCTATAATAATGTTTACCAAATTGAGTTTGTCACAGTATTGAAAATTTAGGAATTAGCATGATCAAATTTTTCTAGATATAAATTTGAAGGAATAATCATAAAAAAGAATGTCACACACAGCCAATCAGAATCAGAGTTTCATCTATGATATATTTGCAATCTATATTCTATCAATTAAACAAGTCTAACATTGCACACCAGTAACCAGAACTTATGCCATTATTTCTCTCACATTGGAGAATTGAGGATTTTAAGTGCTTATAGTACATTTTGATTTGAAAGTTTGTCATAATCTGCATATATTTTGATAGTAGTTATATATTTATTAAATATTCTAATTACTTTCATGTTTATAGTCATTTGAAATAAAAATGATTCCTTTTTGATATGATGATAATGGCAGGCACATCCAGTTTCATTACAGTGTGGTTCTATTTTGTTTTAAAATTTATTTTTTTAATTTTTTAAAGTAATTTTCTAATTAAAATTTTTACATTTTTTTAAATCCTGAATATCCATTTATGCATAGCCAAACACTGCAATTAATTTAAAATAATTCTTTGTTTCATTAACATTGTTTTTATTATTCATAAATAACCTTATAAATATTTAATATATTTGGAAAGCTTTGAAAATGATAGTGAAAATATTTTCAAGAACTTTTAAATGATTGTATTTAGTAAATAATTAAACAGTATTAAATATTATGATATATGCATGTTCAGTATGTACTGTATTTAATTTGCTCTTCAACCCTGTTTGGAAGTCTTCTCTCTTATATATTATTATTAAACAATGACTAAAAAAACAGTGCAAAAATATTCAAAATTTAAACGTTAAAATGGATAACATATTTATTTAAGAAAATTAATTCACAGAATTTAGGAGTGGCTCAAAATTTTGTAGAAGAAGCTGAACCACTCCTGACCCCCTCTAGCTAGGGGCCTGATTTAACTGTTACGAAAACAAATACAATCCACATTACAATATAAAGAAAATATAATGCAGTCGATATTGTGTATATATTAAAGGTGTGATTGTATCATAATTGTGATTGATGAAACCTTTAGGTTTCATTATCGAAAAGGTAAAGATTTGTATTATAAGCTTATTAACCTCTGTTAATCCATGCCAAATTTTATGATGAGCTTTTTTAAAATAAGATAAATTTCATGCAAATAATATCATAAGTATTTGCATGAAATTTAACGAGACTCAGCTAAGTTCATCTCCTAAATATTCTAATAAGAATATTTTGGTCTAATAAAATTATTGAAACAGCACAATGGAATTAATTACCTCTAATGCAAAGAAATAAGATAAGTGGCACTAAAGGTTGCTAATTATGATGTATTATATCAATTCTAAGATACACCCTATTTTCAGAGATACTAAAACATGGAAAAACTGTCTTTATTTCAGTAAGTACAGTAGTCATAGATAAAATGTTACATTGCATTAGTACTTTGAATTGCTGTCTTATATAATTTTTCATTTAATAATATAGTTAGTTAATAAAACTAAAAGGATATAATGTAAGATTATAAAAAATTCATTATGGTCAAAAACATGCTTTGTGTAGCAGTAGGTAGCAAAAACTGACATGGTAATGCAGGTAGCATTCAACAGACTCTTACCAGATAAAAAATAAAATGAAATAAGCAACAAATGAAATTTTCATCCTCTGTTAAGATTAGGTTCACTCTGAATCATCATATTGGAAGCATTTGTCATTGTAGGAAGACATGGTGAATTTAATTTAAAATTAAAATTATAGATTAACTTGTCAGATGCTGTGTGTGTGTGACAAAAGGTTAAATACAATATAGTTATATTTTTCAACTAGTTAAATAGAAGTTATCATAATTTTATTGTTAATTTAATTTTCTTTTTTTTATTTAAAATTAATATATTTACTTCATTGAATATATTAAATTTAAATTGAAAAATAATTTCAGGTATTTGCTGCCGAAGAAAATGCTACTGTCACAAAAATGGATACTAATAATTTAGCAATGGTCATGGCTCCAAATTGTCTTCGTTGTATGTCTGATGACCCTCGTGTCATATTTGAAAATACAAGGAAGGAAATGGCTTTTATTCGTATGTTAATCCAACACTTAGATACTAGTTACATGGAGGGAATAATGTAAACATTATTCATTAAGAAATTTTAGTTCTATTCGTGAAGAATCATCTTTTTCTCATTATGGTTTGCTGTTCTTATAAGACAAGGGGTTAGTCAGTAAATTTTCAGAAAATATATCTTTCTAGAAACCCAAATATTTTTGCTGTATTATATATTGAAATCAATAGTATACATACTATTGTTAGAAATTTTAATAAATAAGGACTGAAGTGATGAATATAGATATTTAACAATTAAGGTAAAAACATCAGATAAAGTTATCTTGGCTAACAGAAATAGCATTTACAAACTGATAAATCAGATTATTTATGACAGATAGGTACTGTTGACTGCATTTCTATAATTGTTCTTATATTATATAAAACAATCTAATATATTTTAAATTTTAAAGTATTGTATTTATATGTTTTGTTTATTGGATGCACATTGTCATATTGTAAAATTATTGTAAAATCAAATTACTAGAAGTATAGATTAGGCATTTGCATGAAAATTTTGTAAATGGGCCTTTAGAGCAATGATATTGTTCACAGTTGTATTATAACTTCTTATATTATTATTTAAATTTATTTTTAACATCCGTTTGTATATGCTTTTGCACTTAAATTAATCACATAGTGATTAATTTAAAAATGCATATAAATAAAATAACTAGCAGTTTAAAAAAAATTATGCCGGAAAATTATGTATGGATTAAAATGTTGTACAATTTTTTTTTAATAAAAATTATTAAATATAATTATGCTAAAAGACATTATGGTAACAAGCATCATATTTAAATATGAGGATTTAATTAAATTTATATGTTGAATTATTTTATTAGAGTTTATTAAAAAAATCATAAACAATAAAAAGAGATATTAAATTTATGTCATGACCACTTTTAAAACAATTAATTTTATCACTCCATAATCATTTATAGTTTTTACATTTCAGTAAAATAAACTATGTAAATTTTTATCTATTGTTATAGTTTTTCTTTGTTAAAAATAACATTAAAAAAAATCTTATTCTTACTGAAATAAACTTATTTGTTATTAAATATATTTTTTTTTAACAGAAAACTATATATATATATGGAGTTTTTTTTAAAGTCTTAATGATTTTTTGATTGAACTTCAGAGAATTCCTGTTATGGGTCAAAAAATCTTTTCATTTTTTATTATTTAAATTTTAAATTTATTACTAAAATATTTTCAACTGTTTAAGATTGTTATTTGCTTTCAATATTTTCAGCATTTGTATGACTTTTATTTATATTACTAATGATAAATTTTTGCTACATTTTATTTTAAAGAGNTAACCATTGCATTCAAGAGGAGTGTGAAATCAACAAAGCCTAAAGGCAAGATTTTAGTATCAACAATTGAGGTGAAAAGGTGATCATGAAGCAAGAAAGCATGGGTACGAGATAAGGAAAGGATGTCTACTATATTTTAATTATTTAGAAATTAATTAGTGAAATGTGACAAGTTGTGATTGTTCTGGAGTGATTTTGGGTGGAGAATGGCAGTTTTGTGTTTTTTTCTTGACAAGGTTAACATTTCTGTATTTCTGTCTAGCCTACATGACTATGCTGGCTTCAAGTAGCCCATCTGACTATTCATGGAGTATTTAATGTTATATTGTTGGAAGTGTGACAACTTACACCCACCTATGAGCTGAAGTACTCACTGTTGCTCACACCTCAGTGCAAAACATGGAGAACAGGCAGTAGTACTGGTTTGTGCAAGTGTCATTCCCCAACCAGAATCACCACCACTTGTCATATTTTGCCTAATTACCCCATAAGTAATTAAAAAAACAATAGTAGGATCAATTTTCAAACTGTAAAAAGATATAAACCGTAACTGTATATTTAAATATTCATTCTTGCACAAGCTTTGTATTCTATTTAGAAAGCTATCTTGAAGAAGACATTTTGTAATGTTAGAAACATTTGAATAAAATATGTTTTTATTGAATGTTTAGGTTTTATCTCTCTCACACTTGAAAAAAACTAATTTCTTTTAGATTAGTTTACATATATTTAATGACAATCTTGTCATAATATGCATCAATTGCCACTCTCTATTCAAGGATAATAAAAACAAACTTAGAGACAATAAAATGCCTTTATTTAACAATATTCTCTTTTAAAAATTATCAAAATGCATTTTGGCTTTATCAAATTTAAGCCTTCTTCAGTTAAGAAGTAGACTATTACTATAAACTTCTTAACTGAAGAGGGCTTAAATTTGATAAAGCTGAAATGCATTTTGATCATTTTAAAAAGAGAATATTGCTAAATAAAGGCATTTTTATTGTCTCCAATTTTGTTTTTATTGTCCTTGGATAGACAGTGGCAATTGAAGCATATTATGACTAGATTGTCATATTAAATTTTTTAATCATTGCTACTAATTTACAAAAGAAGATCTAATTCTGTCATTTCAAAACTCTACAAAAATTTCTATCACGAATACTTTGTTGTTACAGAATTTCTTATCAAATATCCTTTGTTCTGTATTTAAGGATGGCATTACAAAAATGGGAAATTTATTAAATGATTATGCCGAAAACCTTTGTTGCATTGGTCTACATAATTATATTATAATTAAAACTGCTCGAGTGCAATATGTATGATATAAAAAAAAACTATTGAATAGGCAACAAATATATTTTCATATTTGTTTATTATTGTAGATATTATAAAAAGGCAATTAGCAACAGATTTAATTTTAATGAAAATTTTGTGAACCAGATTCTAGTTTATTCAGATATCTTTACATTTATAAATAAATATAAATAAATAAATATATATATAAAACTCCTTAAATAAATAAAAGTAAACAAAAAATGCAGGGTCTTACAAAAACAATGCTACCGTTATATATTTATTGTAGTTACGTTAATTATCATCTGAGAACACTGTAATGTACTGTACATTAAAACATTGGAAAACTGTCCAAGTTTCACATTTGCTCATTACAATTTCTCAACCTGTGTACCTCATGTAGCATACATCCGATACTCAAATTCTACACTCGCTACAGAATATCTGTTTTCACTCCTCCCACAGCAGCCACAGTTCTATAGTGTTTGCAGCTCCACAGCTGCAGGAGCTATAGAATTGTGTAGCTACTGCAAATTACTCATGTTGCGCAATAATGATTGATTTCCACTTTGCTAAGTGCAGAACATGAAACATCATCTCTGTTGTGGAGTCGCTATTTTGATTTACGGCCTTTTCTAAGTGCAGTAGACAACAAGACTTTGAATGCAGATGAGAGATGAAACTTGGATTATTACTCTATCAATTGGTGTACATTGCATACTTCTCAGGTAATAATTAACATAATTACAGTAATTTAAAATGGTAGCATTCTTTTTGGAAGACCATTTATGTATACATTTATGTCATTGATCTTCTAGAATTATACTATTTAAAAAAATAATTCTGAATTATATCACATAACAGTGCTTTTAAATTTTTTTTAGGGAATCGTAAATGTAAAATTTCTTATCTTGCATTCATTTTTTGAAACTTTACTTTGATATTTGACAACTTTTGAAGTAAATATTTTATACAGTGTATTAATTATTTATGACAGTGTTTCTCAAACTAGATTCTGTGGAACTTTCAGGCTTCACAAAGTGATATAAGAGGTTCTGTGAGACAAAATTACATATTGGAAGAGAGAGATTGATTTTTTTGGCTGTTCTAAATTTGTATGTATGACGTTTTATAATCATTCAGCCAATGATAGAATATGGACGGTACGTTACTGCTTCGTATCAGAAAATTTTCAAAAGAAAGAACAAAAATATTATAATCATTGATATTTTGATTTACTTTTTATTTAATCTACTAATGAAATATATGTCTGCAAGTACTGTACACTCAATAGGTTCTGTGATCGTCTAAGAGTTCTGCTTGTTATAATAGATTGAGGAAACACTGATTTGTAATAATGTACGGATGAACTCAATATTAATCTTTTGAAATGAAATTAGTTAATTTACTATTTAATACTCTTATCTAAGAGAGCAAATATTTTGATTATTCATTTTTTAAATGCATACTTGCTAAAAGTGTGCTTAAAAATCCCACACGATTAAGAATGTTTGCTTTATCGATAAAGAATGAAAAAGCACCATTGTCAGTTTAGGTACTTTCAACAGGAATGATTGATCTCAGAGGGATTTTTAATGTTAATTAAAATTCGAANGTTTTTAAGAAGTTAAAAAAAACTTCTAAAGTTCATATTTTCCGAGGCAAAATGTATGCTTCGTGAAATTTCTTCTATAATCTTTGAAGAATAGTTAACAAAGTAATGTTTATAAATATTACATTTCAAATATTCCTTTAAACTTTTACACACTTTATTTAGAAACTACATGCGTATAAAAATTTTATATCCTTTTCATAAAAACTAGATATTAAATTGAATTTTTTTTTTTAAATCTCTTATAAATAAGTTACATCATTTAATAATAATTTTATATAAAATTTATTATGGTGTTTTTTCACTCAGCATAGATGAAAATACAGTACGGTTGCTCTAATCCAAACAGCTTCTAACATTCTCCTAACAAAAACAACGGACTTGTCAACTGTGCGCTTGCAGCTCGCGTATAAAGTAAACACGAGTTGGGTGTTGTGAACGTTGCCGCTCATTTTTTTTTTCCTGTGACCCTGCTTGACTTAACAATAATTCCAATTTCTATTTTCTGTTATGAAGTATCTTACAACAGTAAAAAGTGGCCTCAAAGCATAAGTATCGTATCCTTACCGTCGTATCCATGTTAATCCGAATTTTTTGTTCGTGCAAACTACCACTGCTCTTGGTTAGTTCGGATTAGTGCGACCGTACTGTATATAAAAACTTTATTGCAATACAGTTTTATGTACAGAAGCTTAAGATTCAGCTAATAACTAAATTAGTTTCAGTTACATAGTAATTCTTAACACTTTAATGTAAATATTTGATTTTGAGGATATGAAATTTTATTATTATTATTATAAGACAATTTACTTTGTAGTTTCTTTTTTAATTTCTTTCAATGAAAGCGATGAATATTTTTAGGTGGAAATAATTAATATATTTAATATCACCGGATAAATATAAATATTTATACGTAAGATTGTCCCAATTATTTTAAAATATGCTTTAAAGATTTTGGCATTCTGTACTTTGAATGCGTCTTAAAATTGTATTGGACTTACGTAGAATAAAATTAAACAAATTTAGTCGTAATTGATAATTTTTTAAAATTAAATTAGATATAACCAGAATAGTTAACGAAACTGTATTAAGCTGTTAAATTTCTGAGAGTCGACTGCATTTAAAATATGTAATAATTAGTTAATATGCCTCCAAGATCCATAAAATGCAAGAATGATTCTCGAGCAGTTTAATTTTAATGCATGCAATCTTTTTATAGTGTTATTTAAAGGTTCGTAGGATGTCGACAAGTAAACTTAAGAAATTTTTCAGCAGATACTCGAGTTAATGCACGCCAAAACCGAACTCGTGCGAACCAGATCTAAAAAATCAACTGCATATATTAAGAAATATCAGGTATAAATCTTTTAAATTGTTTTCTTGTTTAAGTAAATCACGTTTTTAAGCATTTATATTAAAATTTTTGCTATTTAAAAGTTAAATACATATATATATATGTGTGTGTAATTAATATGTAAATTTTATATATAATATACTTAGACAGTGACGCATGGGACACTGACGACACAGTGTAGTGGAACTTTTTCGGGTCTGTTGCCGTGGCAAAGCTGTTTGGCGTGATACGCAAGTGGCCGTGTGGCACCGTGAAGAGGAGGGAAAAAGTTCTGCCTAAATAAAGAATCTGGTTTCACCAA